ATAAATCAAGCCGAGAACCTGGCTATCCTAAAGGCACTTCAGTATGTGGATGCTCACCACAAAAATTTCAAAACTTCAATTGTTCTCTATAGAGATAGCAAGCCTGCTCTCCTCCAAATTCATAAGTTAAATACTAAGTACACAATCATTAATTGTATCCTTACCTACCTTCAGTGCCTTGAGTCGGCATGCCTTACATTATCCTTCTTCTAGATAAGGAGCCACTCGGGCATAAACGGTAATGAGAGGGCCGACCTCCTTGCAAGGAAGGCTGCTCGGTCACAGAGAGAAGCAGCCTTTGGGGAGCTCCCTAGCTGCTGGCTTCATATTGAATTGAAAAACCACACCATGGAAAGATGGCAACTTAGATGGGACAACGAACACACAGGAAGATCAACACACAAATTTCTTCCAATTATCAAGAACAGGCAAAAAATGGACTTTGTTCCAGACTTTCATATGACCCAAATTTTGACTGGTCACGGCAACTTCCATTTCTACTTAAGGAGGTTCCTGCAAAAAGGAAACAGAAAGTGTCACTGCCCACTTGGGGAAGAAGAAGATACTGCTCACATCCTCTTTGTGTGTAGCAAGTACACCTCACAGCGGAAAACCCTTGTCGACTCCATATACCATCATGGGCTACATTGGCCCTGTGCTGTTAAAGACTTTTTTCTTAACAAAAAGACAGTGTTCTGAGGACCTTTGTCATCGACATTGATCTACTCCTCCTTGTACAATACATTCCTATATAACTACAGATAGAAAACTCCCTTAGCAGCCTCTTGGCCAAAGTATATGTTGTTCGGGTTTTCTTTGTATTTGGGCAGCCCCCAAGTCCTAGGAGTGACCTTTCACGTTGTTTTCATCTGGGGCTCCTGTTTGTTTACCCATCAGTATAGGCCATTTTATGGGTCCAAGGTTGGGATGTGTTTTCCCACCCATCTTTTGTACATACGCATTTACTTGTTTTATGGGTTTGTTTTTGGCTGTTTCCGGTAGGGTTGTGCTTGCCCTTCCGGGTTGCTGTCATCTGTTAACCTGTTGGGCCTAAGTGCAGGCTGTTCATGGGTCTTAGGTTGAGAAGTGTTCAACCACTTGTCTTTGTATCATTTTCTTTTGTTTTTATTTTTTCGTGTAAATGTTGTTTCGGATTTGTTTGTTACTTGGCAGCTCCATTGTCACCACCAGGTGTGTGACAATGGGGCTGCCAATATCAAAATCAGCAACGCAAATGGCCAATCGCCACATCTGCCTCACCAGAAGCAGCCCCTTGGGCTTCCATGCCTTTCTGGAATTCCCTTATATTCACTATTTGCTTATGGGCTATGCCCCAAGTTTTGTACATTTGTTAATTTCAATTAATGGAACCAACTGGGTGCTCTGAGGTTTCACGTTTCACACTTTCCTATTAGTCTTTTCTTTTCTTCCTCCTTCCTTTTCAAAGGAAGGAGGAAGAAAATATGTGGGAGCGTTGATCCAAGTGATAGCAATAGTTGAATCTGTGTGTAAGATCACCTCAGCTACATCCATTTACAGACATGAACGTACCTTTTTGATCAGTTGAGACAATACAATACAAGACAAGCTGATAGCTCTAATCGAGGGATTGTAATGACCTTAAGAGGAGCAACACGAGATTTACTAGCAATAAGTTGTGTCTTGCCAGATTCATTTTCCCTTATGCAATGCATGTAAACTACTGCTCCTTAGGCTGACTCCGAGGCATCTGCATATCCTAGCAAGATAGCCCTTTGAAGGGGATCTGTCAAAATATATCTAGTAATCTTAAGATCGTCCAGGGCTTTCAAGGACGATACAAAGTTCACCCATTCATAATTAAGGTTTTCTGGTAGGGTATCCTCCCAGTTGAGCTTTCCGAGCCACAGTTTCATAGAAAGATCTTTGCTCGAGTTATAACTGGTCCCAGAAAACCCAAGGGGTCATAAAGTCTGGTGATGACACTCAATACTTCTCATTTCATATAAAGCAGTTTTTCTAGAGTCAATACCTTGAATATGAACTGATCTTCAACCGGCTTCCAAATAATGCTTAAGGTTTTTACTGTTGGTTTCGCACTTGAGGAAAAGTAATGATCCTTATTTTCTGGTGAACTACTGTTCATCAATTTTGTTGAATTCGAGTTCCATTTATGTAGTGTGATTGCACAACTGAGATTGTAATTCAAGGGCAGTATTGAAATCTTGCTCACTTGACATGATGTCATCCATGTAGACATCTCGTAATATGGTTTTAGAGGCCAGAGGAAATCTTGCTGCTTCATCGTGAGCCAACTGCTTAAGAGTTCTCACCGCAAGAAAGGGAGCACTGGTGATCCCGTAAGTCACAGTTTTCAGTCTGTAGGTGACTCATTTCATCTTCGTTCTTCCAAACAATTCTTAAGAGATCTAATTGCGAGGGCTCAATTAGAATTTGACGAAATATCTGCTGTAAATGCATATTTCTATTTTTGAAATCTTGTCATAATCTTAAAAACATCTTCCTTCATCTCTTGAAAGGTAAGTAATCATTTAGGCTCAATCCAGAACTTGTGTGAGCAGATGCATTGAAGACTATCCTTAACTTTGTAATGGTTTTGTCTGGTCTAAACACACAATGATTAACATACAGGGTTTGCTACCTGATTAGCATGGAAAAGATGCAGGAGTCTCCTGCATCTTTTCCATGTGGTTCAGGTCCAAATACGCCTTCGTGAATTTCTGATATAACTCTTAATTGATTGTCCCTTGATTGAATCAACTGTTAAAGATACTATCTCCTCAATGCTAACTTTGTTGACTTCCCAAGTTTTGTATCTCCCGTCCTCATTATGTCTGTGAGTTCTTTGATAATGATCTTCGCAATACTCTTCTTCTTTACTCATCAAATTTGGAGCCTCTGTAAGAGTCTCTATTTGCCAAAACCTTTGTAAATATTTATTGACTCAGTCCAACTCTGATATTAGTCCACAATATTGATCTTGATTCTTAGAATCTGTGGATCCAGTTGCAATGTATCCAAAAACTGAGTTGTGAAATGTTAGGTTATTGTTGCAGGATAGAGGAATTTCATCATTTTTTAACTATTTCAAAGAATGCTTCAGCTCCAATAACCATGTCAATTTTGCCTGGTGTAGCATATCTTGGATCAGCCAACTGACATGGGATTTCTGTTTTGCTAATGTGCAGAGAGGAAACAGGGAGTAAATCTGTGATCCTTGGCACCACTAAGAACTGTAGCATCTTAGAAAAAGATCTATTGGCATTTATTATTGTAGCAGGCAGCTTAAACTTGACCAAGGTTTTATTTCCACTTATACTGGAAACTGTGAGATTGATTCTTTCTTGCGGGGTATCCAGATGACTTGCAAAATCTCTGGTAATGATATTTGGCATACTGCCTGAGTCCAATACTGTGCCTGCTTGAATGCTGGCTCCGGTGGTATGATTTAAAACCCAAACCATGGCTGTCGAGAGAATTACTACCTTATTTCCTTTGTCAATGCATGACAGTGAGTGAGGTTAACCTTCACGCAACTCTATTGCATCGGGATTAAGATCCTACTTGATTGGAGTCTGTCTGCTGTCAATCACTGGCACATTGAACCAGTCATAGCTTGTTTCTTTCAGTGCAGTAATATATTATGTTGCTTTTGGCATATCTTACAGCAGCTCTTGGAGTTGCAATTGAATAACTTAAGCAATAGAAACAGAGGTTGCTTTTAGCCACAACATTGTTTCTTTGGGAGGTTTCCAATTGTAAACAGGCTTTTATCCAAGTTGCTTACATAAAATGCAATGAGACATAGAATTGATACATTTCATGAATAAGTTTTTTGGTTTAACTCTAAGTACAATGTTTAAAATTAAGATATCAGAAAGCTCATTTCTTTCATATCCTAGGACTCTTAGAACTTAATATTCCTATTGATGCTATCAATTAAATTCCTCAAACCTCTGTAAAACTAGCTTATGAGTCCAGAATTGCATTAACATGGGTTTCTACTATTAATTTCTTGTTTTCGTACCTTTCTTGCAGCGCTTGAAACAATGAGGCAAACGAATCGTTTAATGTTTCTAAATTCTTAGCTTCCCCTATGAGAGCAGCCTTCAAATAATGTAGTTTCTATTCTGCCGATAGTTGCTCGCTTGACGAAATATTATCAAATTGCATTTTAAAGTTACTCCATTCTTCATATATTCCAGAGAATTTTGTTACGGAAATCTCTGGCAATTTAATATTGGCGGAGTTATTTTGAACTACGGGGCCCTGAGTCACCATGACCATGGATGTGTCTAATACAAGACTGGGTCTTAAATTTACAACTTATAATTTTGTAATTATAAGTTGTATTCTTCACTATTGATTATTTCAGCGTCATAATCAGTTGGGCTAATAATGAAACTCTCAATTTCCCCATTTAAGGTTCTCAATGACTATTCCTTTTGACTCAACTGATCCAGTATTTCTAGACGAGTTCTGTCTCTCTATCGACTCTACTAATTAATTTAGTCCCACTAGCTCTTATTGAAGTGTGTTTTTTCTTTAATTTCTCGAGTTTATCCATTTTAAACTGTCTACTACATATAACGGACAGATAAATTCCTCCTACCTTGGATAGGTGACTTAATGGAGTTTGAACCCAATCTTATTTGCTTGCAAAGTTGTCTCTCTTTTCTTCTTGATTCGCCTGAACAGACCAGATGTCTGTCGATCTTTAACGGACTGTAAAACTATAAACCTTTTTTTGCAAAACCACAAGTACTTTCAATGTGGAATGAGACATTGGTACAAAAAGAATGGCTGTTACTAGGATACGCTTGTCTCCAAAACTTTTAAATTGTTCTTTTTTTTTTTTTAGTACAAAAATACGGTGGCGCTTGAGGTGCCAACAACTAGCATGTTGCATTTCTGCACCACATGATGCTTAAATATTATTCTAAGTACTTGCTATGTATATATGAGTAATTACAAACTTAATAAGATTTTTTTCTTTTCAGTTATGTGGGCGAACCATAAGAGTGGACCACGTGGCCAATTACCGACCTCCAAAACAGGACTCCGAGTCGGAAGAAAGTAATGAAGAAGAAGACATTATGGATATAATAGATCCCAAGAGAAAGAAAGGTAATATATGAATAGAAGAGAAAAATGATAGGAGATGAAGACATGTGCAAAATTGTATTTTTCAGGTAAAAAGAAGAAGCGAGGAGAAGAAAAAGAAAAGCCATACAAGACAAAAAATTGGGATCGTGATAGAGATAGGATAGCCAACAGATACCACGACCGCTTCGACATAAAAAGAGAAGACGATCGTGGCAGTCAGGAAGACAGAGGGGCAAGAAGAATGGCACACGGCAGGTCGCCCCATAGAAAACGCAACCAGATGGATTCAGATTCAGACCAGGAAGTCGGGAGACACCCTAAGAGAAAGGACAGAAATTTGGACGAAAACGACCACGGATCTAAGCACGGCTTTTATAAAAATCACAGGTGACGGCCGAATGTGTCACTCCCTACTCTGTAAATATTCTTACAAAATAAATCTCTCTTAATTATTTGAGACCAGATTACTGAATATATTTTTCCTGACAGTCAGTTCTAGATGAAGTCTGCAATTGTGTACCCATTTTTGTAGTCTGTATTTGTAGGAAATTTATTCATTTCAAAGCACTTTTCCAAAGAATTTGTATCTCTCTGAGCATTGCAGCTTGTTCTTTTTGTCCATGTAATAGGATGCAACATTTTTTGACAAGGTTTTGGGAACACAAAATATGGAAACTAGTTATACTAGAAAAAGTGAAAGAGCAATGCAAAAATTGACTTACCTTTGTGCTGCCATTATAATTTATTCATTTGCACCATTGTTTTACAAACAAGAATGTCAAAATGAGGAGTCGACCGTAGGCAAATGACGGCAAAAGATCATTAATTTAACGACAAAATTGCCACCGAAAATGACAATTTGTTTTTATGCTCGCTTTATCCACTTATCAAAAATAAAATGTCATAATTAATTATAATGTAATTAGAAAGTAGCTGCATATTTAAATCTCTCCATGAGGGTGGGTCCACGCATTCGCTATTTACCTAATGTCAAATATCTTCCATCAAACTATTTGCCACTCGGCAAGCAGGCATACGTGCATTCAATTATTTGTCGCGGGGACGGCAAACATCTCTCCAATATCTAGAAAATATGCAATTCTCCTATGATGATTTGTGCTTCCACTTTTATGCTTATGACTAGTNCTTACAAAATAAATCTCTCTTAATTATTTGAGACCAGATTACTGAATATATTTTTCCTGACAGTCAGTTCTAGATGAAGTCTGCAATTGTGTACCCATTTTTGTTGTCTGTATTTGTAGGAAATTTATTCATTTCAAAGCACTTTTCCAAAGAATTTGTACCTCTCTGAACATTGCAGCTTGTCCTTTTTATCCATGTAATAGGATGCAACATTTTTTGACAAGGTTTTGGGAACACAAAATATGGGAACTAGTTATATTCTTGTTTTCTATGACTTCGTATGACATATACTAGAAAAAGTGAAAGAGCAATGCAAAAATTGACTTAGCTTTGTGCTGCCATTATAATTTATTCATTTGCACCATTGTTTTACAAACAAGAATGTCAAAACAGGGAGTCGACCATAGGCAAGTGACAGCAAAAGATCATTAATTTGTCATTTTCGGTGGCAATTTTGTTGTTAATTTGTTTTTATGCTTGCTTTGTCCACTTATTTATCAAAAATAAAATGTCATAATTAATTATAATGTAATTAGAAAGTAGCTGCATATTTAAATCTTTCCATGAGGGTGGGTCCACGCATTCGCTATTTACCTAATGTCAAATATCTTTCATCAAACTATTTGCCACTCGGCAAGCAGGCATACATGCATTCAATTATTTGCCAAACACGGGTTTGTCGCAGGGACTGCAAACATCTGTCCAATATCTAGAAAATATGCAATTCTCCTACGATGATTTGTGCTTCCACTTATGACTAGTTGTATCCATTAATGAAAAACAAGAAGATAGTGGATGTTATTGCTTCACCAAAGCAGAAAAATGTAAACACAGAAAAGAGAGGAATTTTTTTAAAAATCAACACAACAAAACCATATTACAAAATAACACCAGAAAAAAGTACATAGAAAAAATAAATACAGTATTTATACTATGAACCATATCAAAAAAAAAAAGAGAGAGACTAGATCTAGTTTTAAAAAGACTAAAATAGCAATATCGACGACCAAAAGCAAGAAAATACACAAATATCCATATTCTCCGACTTGGCACGATTTACCGATAAGAATCGGGAAACGGCAAATGGCAAACATTCATCATACATACCACTGGTAAACCATCCAAGCCACTTGGCATTCGACAAATAATGATACTGGGGGACACCCTTATCCAGAAATCTGAAACAATTTCTTAATAAGAGTGCGTCGTGGCAAATATTTTTCACTAATAGAAAAATTTGGCACTCAAATGCAATTGCAATTTGCAAAACATTTCTATTGGTAATAGTAATAGCAGGTGGCATGACTATGCAATGTAACAGACATGGCTAACCGTCGCTCCTCTACATTTTGTCTGTAATCTTAAATATTTAGAGACTGATTTACATTTGTGCTCGCAGTGTTTAAAAAATAATCATTTTCATTGTTTTGGTGTTGGTTGTGCTAACTTTCTATAAATTTAGTAAATCTTATTAAAAAAAAGTTGGAAATGTGAATCCTGTAGACCAGCAAATACTACAAAAAGAAAAGTAAATTCAATTTTGGAATTGGGACAAGATAATGAATTAGGTGAGTCAACTCACTTTCTCTCCAGTTTGCTTATTATTACAATCAATTGATTTTTCACAATGTTTCAACAACCTCCTGCTCACTCCAAGGACACTTGAGACTAACAAACCAATCCAGTTTGATAAATTATTTTTTGAAATTAAACAAATTTATAAAGGAATGGAAAATATAAAATCAAACAAATAAAAGCATAAAGCATTAAATTCAATTTTTATTCGATAAGATGGTCGTTAATTTTATCAAATTTAACTCTCTGGAGATAAACAGTAAAAGGCTCTTTGATGAAATTTCAGAATTAAAACAAGAAAATTCTACAATAAAACGGAAATTAAGATTTATGGAGCAGGACGTTAACGATTCAAACCTAGAAATCGTCAGACTGCCTTCCTTGTTAAATGAAAATTTAATCAATATTGCTTATAAAGTCGTGACATTTTTCGATAACACATTTGCTAAATTCTCTATTGTAAAAGCGTATAGGTCTTAATCCATTCCAAGTGATAGAAATTCTATGCCATGTAAATTAAAGCCAATAATTATAGTGAAATTGGCTAATATTACTTTGAAACAAAAAAATTATTGATAAAATTAAAGGGAAACTTAATAATTATACATAATTGGAGGTAATTTTAAGTATAATTAAAAACAAAATTTATTTAAATGACCATCTTACATCATATCATAGATAAACTACTAGTTTTATAAAAAAAAAATTTAAAGGAGGAGGGGAAAATATTAAATACTTGGACTAAAAATGGTATAATTCACATAAAGAAAAGTGCAAATGCCTACATTAGAATATATTGAGAGCTCATTTTCTGATGGAAGATCTATTAAAGCATAATGAGATAACTAATTTTGATACAGACGGACTGTATATTTTATAGTAACGTAAGAGGCTTAAATAATAAATATCAGAAAATAAACCATATTTCTAGATATGATTGTAATTTTGGTATACTGACTTTTTATGAGACAAGGATTAATGAAATCCACCCTCTGTTTAAAATTTAAAAATTTTATATGGAAAAAATCGAAGGACAACCTAACTAACATGGAGGTATAGTTCTGTACATAAACAAATATCTGATTTACGAGGTTGTACCTGACTTGACATTTACTAAAGAGTACTGTACATAGATTTCATGGCAATATCTGTCAACTTCATCTCCACTGTGGCTATTTACCGTTTTCTGGCTTCAAACTAGTTTATTTTTTATCTAGTAAATTTTATAATTCATTTTTATTGATTTTTCCGTCCAATGGCAGGATTATCATCAACCAAATCAAAGACAAGTCTGCCCAAGAGGGACCACCATTTGTGTTCCAGACTATACACATACACATTCATGGCGACAGGCCTTCCTTTTTAGGCTTCATGCTGCCAGAAGTAAAAAAGCCCTTTAAAAAAAACACAAACAGGAATCAATGACACGCAGACATATTACTTTCCATCCATCTGGCCAATGGGGTAGTTCTGCTTTATATCTTTTAGAACAGGTGCTAAAAAATGTAGATTTTGAAGCTGCCCCCTGGCGACGGTACATTTAAAATTTCTTTGTTGATTTTTCTGTCTGATGCGTGCCACCGATTCCTTTTTGTGTTTTTTTAAATGAATTTTTTACCTCTGGCACCATGAAGCCTAAAAAGGAAGGCATGTTGCCATGAATGTGTATGTGTGTAGTCAGGAATGCAAAATAAATGGTGGTCCCTCTTAGGCAGACTTGTCTTCAATTTGATTAATAATATTGAAATGAATTATAAATCTAAGGAACTATAAATTTTTTATCATCAACAATTTTAATACGGATCTACTTAGTATCAGTATTAAAATTGTAGTACTTTGTACTTAGTAAAGATTCTTCTTATTGAAGAATCTTTACTAATTGTTAAACTTTTGCTTTTCTGAAAATTTATCACTCTTGGTTGATCGGAAGCAACCGACCAGATTTGATAAAGATACTCACTCCTCGATTGATTTTGAGTTAACCAATGTTGAGTCGGAATTTTTCATCCACCAAGATTTATTGTCGGATCGTACGCCTATAGTTTTCTTTCTCCCGAGGAAAGATACAGAAAATGGGTAGTAATTTGTTAAAAAGTCAGGAAAATAAATATGACTTCAATAAAACTGTTATGCAATGCTTTATCATCTTGTTTCACTTGAGATTACTTTTATTCCTCAGATCTTTCTATTGATCAATTGGCAGTTTATTTTCAGGATATCTTGCAGATTTTTATTAATAAATATCTTTCCATTACAACATTAAATAAGAAAAATAAGATAAAACGAAAGGCATTTTTGGCAAAAACCATCTCGAGCGATACAATAAAGTTAATTAGTCAGAAGTTCTTTAAACAATTAAACAAGTTTTATATCGGGAGATCAGCGTGCAAGAATACTAACAGAAGAGAGAGGGCTGACCAGGGATATTAGAAATAAAATTAGGAAAGAAGAAGATTACTACGACACACAGTTCTTTAATATACATTCTTCGATAGGGTTTTGGCAAAAGATTAAACATCTGCCTATCGATATAGTTAGAACAATATACAAATTATTCAGTTTAAGTATAATGGAAAACTTTTTCAAAATGAAGAAAAAATAAATAAGATTTTTGCTGATTACTACAGATAGATAGGAGTTTTGCCACATCAATGTTAAAAACAAATTCTTTCTCACATTCCTCTTCATGCAGTATGGTAATTCTATTAAAAATTGAAACTTATAAACAGATTTTTG